CCCCCCCCCCCCCCCGACCTAGAGCGATCTACGCCTTGTTCAGCACCTATCTTAGCATCCTCCATCATTGGTTTAGAGATGCTATAGGAAATAATCTCTGAGTATTCTATTTAATAGCTATTAACAGATACATTATTCATAATGTTTTTAAATCCTTTTTGGAACCTGCCTGTATTATCTGCCTCTACCACCTCCTGTGGTAATGAGTTCCGCAAGTTAGCTACAGGCTGTGTAAAAAAGTACTTTCTTTTGTTACTTTTAAATCCTCTTCTACTGATTTCAGTACATGTACCCTGGTTCTAGTACTCTGGAACTTGGTGAATAAAATTATCCCATTATTTGTCCACACTTTGCATGATTTTATAGACTTCTATCATACCCCCTCAGCCTTCTATTTTCCAAACTGAAGAGTCCTAGATTGTTAGACTCTCTTGGCATGGCAGCTGCTCCATACCCTGATCATTTGGTTGCTCTTCTTTGTATCATTTCTAATTCTACTACATCTTTTTTGACCACAACTGTGTACAGTATTCGAGAGGTGGGATCTGTATAGTGGCATGATGATATTTTCCATTCTGTTTTCAATTTTCTTCTTGATGATGCCAAACATTTTACTGACTATTCTGATCAGCAGTGCACATTGAGCTAATGTTTTTAGAAAGCTATATACAATGACTCCAAGGTCTGTTTCCCAAGTCATAACAGCTCATTCAGAACCCACCACTGTGTATAAGTATTTGAAGTTATTTGTCCCCATGTGCATTACCTTGCACTTGTTAACAGTGAAGTTCATCTGCCATTTTGGCCCACCCACTCAGCTAGGTGAGATTTTTCTACAGCTCTTCTGTCCACTTGGGATTTGACTACCCAAAATTGTTTAGCACCATCTGCAAATTTTGAGATTTCAGAGTCTATCCCCATTTTCACGTCACTGATAAAAGCATTGAACAAAACTAGGTCTAGCACAGATCCCTGCAGGACCTCACTTTTGGTCTCCCTCCATCCCGAAACAGTTCTGCAATTTCACCTTGGAGTGCCTTCAGAATTCCTGGGTTTATCAGTCTGTTCTAAAACGTATTCTGTTGTCATTTCAATGTGATCCAACTCTTCTGACCTATCCACTAAGAGGGACTGGTCTGGTCTGAGAATTCTCCCAATATCTTCTGCAGTAAAAACTGATGCAAAGGATTTGTTTCTCTGCCACGGCCCTATGGTCCCTGAGTGCCCTTTTTACACCTTGGTCTAATCTTGCAGGACAACTAAAACCTTATATCTTAATATAATTTGTTAGTATGGCTTTAGACATGTAATCATTGGAATATTTTTTTAGAACAGAAAGAAGTATGATATATCACTAACTTCAACAAAGGAACTTCAGCAGTTTTTTTTTTTTTGTTAGGGTAATCCTTTAGATTTAAAAAAGACTTATTAATAACATGCTTTATAATATTTTAAGGCAGTAACTTGCGCATCTTGAATGTGTATTCATCAGCACCACTGAATATCAAGTTGTTTCATTAAAACTTTGATTTTTTGCAAATACTGGGTGGGAGGCGGACAGGAACTGAAAAGGACATTGCTTGGTTCAGGAAAGATTTAAAAAAACATATGAGTGATACAGAAATAGTTATGGCATGATAAATATGCACCAAAACATCAAAGTTGGTGCATTTTGTCCCCCAGAGGAAAATGATTCTCTGGGCAGCTGGAAAATTTAGAATGCAGCTTCAAATGTTTTGCTTTTTTGCACAAAGGGAGAACGGGAAAGGAAGCAAAAGGAGACGTGCAGGTCTGGGAGTACATGAAGAAGCCTAACAGAAAGTTAAGGAACTGAGAACATCTGAAGATAAAGTTTAGAGAAAAGGAAAAAGAGATATGGAGATGCATCAAGCCACAAGAGAAGGCTGAGGGGGGACCTGGTGACTGTCTATAGACTCACTAGGGGGGACCAGAAGGGTTTGGGGGAGACGCTGTTTCCCCTAGCGCCCGCTGGCATAACAAGGAGTAATGGGCACAAGTTGATGGAGAGGAGGTATAGATTGGACATCCGCAAAAACTACTTCACGGTTAGGGCGGCTAGGAGCTGGAACCAACTTCCAATGGAAGTGGTGCTGGCCCCTACCCTGGGGGTCTTTAAGAAGAGGCTGGATGCCTACCTGGCTGGACTCATTTGAGTCCCGTTTCTCTTTTTGGGGTTTTTTTGTTGTTCTCCCGCCCTGGCGGGGGGTCGGGCTAGAAGATCTACTAGGTCCCTTCCGACCCTTAATCTATGAATCTATGAATCAACAAAATGTAGTTCTTACACTAAACAGGGTTTTATGTCAAATATTGGTACTTTAAATACCATATCAAATAGACCGCTTTCAAGAGACAATGTTTTATCAATGTTAGACTTGCATATGGATCCTAAGGATAGTCCACCAGGATTTCATGCTCTACAGGACAAATTCTGATCTCTACTTTTCTACAACCTGATTATTCCTGCAGTCAGAGCTCAGTAAATCACTCTCCCGGATGAGGTACAAGTAGGAACAAAATCCAACTTAGTTTCTCTCTTGGCAGTTTTGCAGTGCTAACAGAAGTAAAATCAAGTAACCACTTACAGAACAAATTTCAGGGAACCTTTTAGTCTCAATGGAAGTTTGAAAGTCATGCCAGTGCAAGATAAAAGTTAGAATGGACTTGGAGCGCTTGGGAAAGATCTGTTGAATAAGAAGGTGCCATGTTTACAGTCATTTAAGAGGGGAAGATCACTTTAAAAAGGAGAGAGGCTGGTAAACTCAAGCATGTTTCATTTAACCTTTGTATGATGCTTCAAGGCAGTGTCAATTTGTCACCTATGTTTAAAATGTTATTTTTTAGTCTGTCTGCAGTAAAAGCCACTTCGCAAAAATGTTTCTTGCCTGAGCAAAATAATGTTTGGCAGGTTAGTACAGTATTTCTTTATTTCCATACATTTATTGCCATAAGTGTGGCCAGCCATTTACTGCATAACATAACACAGTTACTTTTACTCTTGCACTTCAACTTTCCTCTATGGTGCTACCCAAAGGAAACCCCAGGATGGTGCAGATCATAACACTGGCATCTTAATTGGTTCCAAGGCATGCGAGAAATCAAGTGTTACTAGATGTACTTTTTTCTAACTTCTGATATTTGGCGATTACTTTGCAGGTGTACAATGAAAAATATGTGAAATCTCTGCCCAATGGAGGCAAGCATGTTTATGCAGTACACGTCAGAAGCGGCTATTCTGGAACTATATGTGTGCTGTTTTTCTGGATGCACAAAATCCATTGTGTGCCAAGTTGCTAAGAAGTGCTGTGTCACTCTGGGACAACATTAGCTGTTTGGCTGTACCAGACAACAGTGGCAGGCATGACATAATGCCCAAAACCATCCAGGTCCCTTTGTTCATTCCACTGACACAGGTCCACAGTCTATATTAAATTTTTGTCAAACCCTGATACCCTGAAGGGGCACATCCAGGCGAGCCAGCACGTGGCTCTTGCCCCGTCTCAAAGCAATTTGAGACAGGGGAAGAGGCACACTGGAAACAAAAAAAAATATGTTCCCCGCACAGCGTATTTGCAATGTGGGCTCAAAATTTGATACCTGAATATCCAGGTATCAAATAAACCCCGCCCCCTCCCAAAAAGGGACTGTGCCCTGAGGCAACTGGAGGCTCGGATTCTCCAAAGAGACGCTCTGGTAGCCAGCCAGAGTGTCTCTATACCTGGCCCTTGCCCTGGTGCTTTAGCAAACCCCACATCCCCCCATCTGGTAAGAAAACCAGAAGCAAACAACAAACTATACATTTGCCTAACTGATCTCTCTATTTCTCTCTCTCTACACACACACACACACACACACACACACACACACACACACACACACACACACACACACACACACACACACACACACACACACACACACACACACACACACACACACACACACACAACACACACAGTGGCCTTTTGTTCTAATTGTGGACGAACATGGATGTTGGGGTATTTCACAGAGTGAATTTCAGATTTATTTTTATCAGAGAGTTTGCAGTTTTTCAATAGGGAACACCAGAATCCCTGCTAGTGAGGCAGGTGGCAGGACCCAAGCAAAAGAGCCTACCCAGCTAGAGGTGGCAGACACTCTGGCCACTTGGGGCTAGGGGGACATGTTTTGACAGTTCAAAGCAGGCTACCACACTGGGAACATCTTCTGGGCGATAGCTGCCCAGATGGCAGGGCGGCAGCACACATGGCAGTAGTGCCGCATAAAGGCCAACTGTACAGCCACAGCTCACTGGCAGCTGACTCAGAGGTGCCTATGCCTCTGCTGCGGCCGTGCGGTCCTTGTCTGGGTCTGGCAGGAGCACAGCCTCAAGGCTACATGCTGTCGCAGGTGGCAGCAGGTCACAGCCAGGCAGCAGTCCCCACTGCCAGACTGCTGCAGTGGGTGGAGGGTGCAGGAAACTCTCAGTTATGGCTGCTTCAGCAGTCCAGCTGGCACAAGGTATAGTGTCCCTAGATACCAAGTGGCCGGGCGCCAGAAGCTCCTGGGAGCAAGTAGTCCTGAGCTGCTCGCCAGGGCAACTTTTTTATACTGCTGGGGCCAGAACAGGTACTGGACCCAAGCTCTATCTCCCCCTGGCTGCAGATCCGGAAGGAGCTGGGCAGGATTATTTTGCCCCAAGTGGTGAAACTTGCCCCATACCAAAGTGCATGAGCACGTGCACAGAGGCAAAAGTCCCCAGCTCAAATTTATGCCACTGCTATTTGAGCTGCTGCCAGTGCATGTGCCTGCATATGTGGATGTGCCCCAGAAGTCATACCCAAGTGTCTCAAAGTAAGATTGGAGTCTTTCCTTACTCATCTATCCCTTTACAAAATGTGGTGACCCAATCTCTCTTCACAGCTGGGGAGTAAAATGTGAGGTGCTGGTACTCACACATACCAAAACAGTGGATATAGTTAGTAAACCTTGGCAAAACAATTAAAATATCTGCAGCCAAAGAGGGAGTCAAGGAAACATTGCCACTTTCAATGTGATAGGAGGATGCCATGGCAACCAGTTTCCCTACAATGCACGGGGAGACTTATTTTTAAGCTTTACCATCTTAGCATGAGACAGTGTCAAGGAAATGCCCCTGCTTCAACATATATTGTATTTATTCAAATCCAAGATGAGGTGCCCCCATATTTAATCTGGGGGGGAAGCCCCTCATCTTGGATTCAAGTATGAAGTGGGGGGGGGGGGGCAGGCAGCTGCTGTGGCTGGCCCTGACTCAGGATTGGTGATAGAGCTGCAGCTGCAGCCTGCCCCTCCACTGCCTTCTCCCCCTGCCCCCTCCTCCAGCTGCTTACCTTTGTTCTGGCAGGCTCTGGTCCCACTCTAGCTTTGAGTAGGGAACACATGCTTGCTCTGACCCCAGCCCAGCCCAGCCCCCTAACAGCTGATGCATTGGTGGCACCTCTGGCCAGGACCTGTAGCCTGGGTCAGAGCTGCCACCACTGCTGTTGCTACTGGTTCACGCTGGGGCCAGAGCAAACATGTACTCTGTGCCACAGACTGGAGGGGCTAGCACAGCTGAAGCATTCTCCAACTTCAAGAAATCATCAGAAATTCATAAAAAAGTACAGGCAACTGTAACAAACAAGGCGGCTATCATCAAAGAGAAGAAAACTAATGGAGATGCTGTTTTGTCTATCAACTATGAAAACAAAAGAACCTTTATATGAAAAGTCTTACCTCAAAAGCTTCTGACGAGCATTTTCTTGCAGCTGTGCAATTCTCTCTTCTCCATGGCGTATCGGAACATTTGGACCATAACAAACTAGTTCGTTAATGGCTGTCCTTAGGATGTTTATCTGTAAATATGCCAGTGATATATTATGAAAAGCAGCCCAAGTACCAGTTCCAATAAAACATGATAATTTTATTTGTGTATGTAGACGGTGGCCATCATGTTCACATTACCCTACATCTAGAATAACTTAGTTAAGACTGACAGTTTGTTTTTGCACCTTTGACTTTAGCAAAAAGACCAAATGAGACTAGGTGCATCTTTTCTATATATGAATGTCCAATTTTTTATTTTAGTGTTAGACTGATATTGTAGCAGTGATGGTCCAGGAATTACATAAGAGGAAAGGACTCCTTAGGGTGTTATCTTTTATTGGATCAACTGCATAGCTGGGATCAAGTTAGACAAGATTTTGAGTGCAAGACATTCTTCCTTAAGTCCCAACGTCTTGCACTTGAAAGCTTGTCTAACTTGATCTCAACTACACATTTGGTCCAATAAAAGACAACACCCTAAGAAATCCTTGCTTCTCACAATTTTTTATGGCTAAATTAAGCTATAAAAGTGGTAGTAATTCTTTATACCAAGAACATAATTAAAAGGTATTAATCTCTCAGAAAACAAAAGCCTTTGTATAAGAGTTTGACTAGTACAAACTTGATATTGATTTAAGTGTTAGTTTGCTTATACAGAGCAGTCCAAAAACATACCAGTGTGTTACACTGTGTATTTGACTCTGCTCAATAAAGTTTAATAAAATAACCCTAGGGTGTTTTAAAATTAGTCTGTGATGCACAATATCAATTCAAGGTTATAAACAGGCAACTCCACTAAAAAAAAAATTAAACAACTTTAAAATCCTGCCAAAGGTTGCTAGACTTCAAGGAATAAAACTGAAATAGCTAACGTTATCTGACAACCACTAGACTCCAGCTATGCAACACAACAGTGAAAATAATTCATAAGCATGTTTTACCTCCACTATATCATCCACGTCAAAATGTACATCAAATGCCAGCTCCATTTCATGTTCTGGAAGCACTGGAGTTCCAAGAGTCTGGTTCCACCCCAAGCCACAAAGAACACCCGTAACATTCTTCCCATCTTTATCAACTCTAAATAAAATGCAAATAGGAAAAATGGGAATTTTTGAAAGTGTACAAAACATCATGAGACATCAAAAATTCAACAAGAACACCTTAATGTGAAATAGGCACTCATATGGAACAACTTTCCCAGACTACCACAGAGTTTGCGGAAGGAGGTGAAAAGCCAACAGTGGCAAAAGAACAGGTTAGGGACTATTTAGAAAAACTGGATATGTACAAGTCCAAGGGACTGGACATGATGCACCCAAGGGTGCTGAGGGAGTTGGCCAATGTGGCTACACAGCTGCTGGCCATTAACTTAGAAAACTTGTGGCAATCAGGAGAGGTCCCAGACAATTGGAAATGGGCAAATACAGTGCCCATCTTAAAGAAAGGGAAGAAGGAGAATCCAGGGCACTACAGGCCAGCTAGCTTCATCTCAGTCCCTGAAAAGATCATGGATCAGGTCTTCAAGAAATCCATTCCTAAGCACTTGGAAGAAAAGGTTGTGATTATGAACAGTCACCATGGACTCACCAAAGGCAAGTCATACCTGACCAATCTGATGGCCTTCTATGATGAAACGACTGGGTCTGTGGATGCAGGGAGAGCAGTGGACATGGGTTACATAATCAGGAAAAACTCTCACAAGGAGAGTAGTAAAGTACTGCAACAGGTTACCTGGAGTATCTCCATTCTTGGAGGTTTTTAAGGACTCAGCTAGACAAAGCTTTATGATTGGCTGGGATGATCTAGTTAGGGATGGTCCTGCTTTGAGCAGGGGCTTGGACTAGATAACCTCCTGAAGTCCCTTCCAACCCTAATTTTCCTATGATTCTAACTCATTTGAATGGCCAAACAGGAACCAAGTTACCAATAACTGCCTCACTTTCAGGATCTTTGTGTTTTCTGAAACACTTCAGGGCCCAATGTGATGAATCAATGATTTGCAGTGTGTCTACCCCAATTTGCAATGTAAAAGAATGTAACCCATGCTATGTACTTTGAGGTCATTAGGTTTTCACTCTTCATTCCAATTTCAATCAAAGTGTAGATTAAGACTTTTTTTTCCCAATTTCTAATTCTGAATTTTCCATCTTTAGGGCTTCCAACTTTCATGAACTCCTTTACATGAGGGCTTATAAGAGGAAAAAATCTGAAAGTGGTATTATAGCACATAGCACAAATCCTTTTCTGATCATATTTGCTTGGATTTGGAACCAGAGACTTTTGACTTTTTAAACCATAAAAAATAGTAAAAAACTACAGATGAAAGTACAAAACTGAGTGGCCCCACCAAGGGTCAGACATAAGAGACTCATCAGTAACATAACACCCGTATCACCAGTGGCTGAAATGCCTTTCATGGAATTACACATTTAGGATTAGTTGTCCATTTTCCATCTTGCAGTTCCCCCTTAACAGCTCAGCACAACCGATGCTGGTCCAAGTTTTGTTGCAAGGTGAAACATTCAAATTCAAAGGAGACATGTCCAAATCAGGAACCAAGAGAGTTGGAGGCTTTTGTCAGAGCTGGCCTCTGTAGCTCTTCACAGTTGCCATCTTGGCCTGGCCCATTGATTAGGCAGATCATACTCCCCAGAGCTACTCAGCATAGAGAAAATGTAGAAGCCCAGCATACAAAAGGTGGCACCAAGGGCAGCAAAGAGTGGGTGCAAGCAGGGGGCAGTTCAGGATGGCATAGAAAACAGGAGGGGGCAGGCCACTTATGCCACCTGATCTAAATGGTGGACAAAAGTGGCAGCGGCCAAGGCCCCATGTGGCAACTGCCACTGGAGGTCACCAGTCCTCTTAGCAATGGGCAGCTTGTACAGTGGGCACCAGGTGAGATGGGCTTGCTTTTTTGCTGCTGCTAAATGCTAACTTCAGATCACATCTATAAACTGGCCAAGGGAAACCACCAGGCGATGGGAGAGCCCCTGTTCCCCTGAGTGCTACTGGGAGTAACAAGGAATAACAGCCATAAGTTCGATGGAGAGTAGATTCAGGCTAGATATCAGGAAGCACTACTTCAGTCAGGGCAGCTAGGATCTGGAACCAGCTTCCAAGGGAAGGGGTGCTCGCTCTTACCCTGGGGGGTCTATAAAAAGAGGTTAGATAAACCCCTTGCCGGGGTCATTTGACCCCAGCATTCTTTCCTGCCATGGCAGGGGGTTGGACTTGATCTGCTCAGGTCCCTTCCAACCCTACCAACTATGAAACTACGTCCAGGTGGGTGGTGAGGACAAAGGCATGACACACTGTTCATGTGTAGAGCATCAACTAAAACAGGATTTCAGAGCAGATCCCACATGGGGAGGAACAGCCTGGGTATCAGGCCTGCCACTTTCACTGCTGTCCATGGCCAGAGAGATAGGCAGAGATGGTGCATTCAACAAGCTGCCATTAGGAGGGTTTGCCATGTGTGGAGGTGTCTGCCAAGCAGCAACAACATCTGAGGGAAGGGCAGCTTCCATTTCAACCAAGAGGCATGAAGCAAAGTGGACAGAATGCAGGCCCAGCAAGGACAGAGGCAGAGGATGTAAACAGAGACTGCATCTGTGCCAGGAGAAAACCTTTTGTCCCACAATCCTACAGACATATGAGCTTCAAGTCCCTTTCACATATGCAGGATAAAATGCACTAGTGCTTTTTCCCAGGACATGACTGTGTGCATGCAGGCTGTAACCAGGCCAAGAGCAGTGAGAGTTAAAATATGGAAGTTTGAAGTTTGGCGAAAAGCACCAGAGTGCATCAGAACATTTGGAATCTGGCAAAGAACATCCTGGGATGGACAGAATTAGTATAACCTGCCATAGCAGATAGGCAAAGCATATAGGACAGTACAACCAAAGCATGGTATGTACCTGGAAAGGTACACAGGAAAGCTACAATTAAATAAGTTCATTAATCAGCAAACTGTGAGATGTGTGGCACCAAACATGACTGATCATGTGTGGGCAGTGATGCAGGTTTGAGCAGAGCAGAACAGAAGAAATGCCCTCTTTATTTGTATTTAACCCTGCACTATCCCTGCTGTCATCCAGTCCAATCACCTGGCTGATAGAATGAATAAAGGCTACACTAAGTTTATACTTACCTGGTTGATAATATGAATAAAGTTTATACTGTACTCATCAAATAGCTGCTGTGGGTTTATTCAAACCATGTTGCAGTAGGATCTAATGGGTCCCTAGGGGACAAAAACAGTGCATCTTTAAGGTTATTGTGTTTTTAACTGGGACAAGCCAGCCAGGTTATGTGCTCCTCTCTGGTGGAGAAGCAGCAATATAGTTTGCAAGAGTATTGTCTGTAAATGACTGCTGTGCCCATTTTAATCCAAGTTAAACCAGAGGACAGTCAGGCCTGTGTCAAATTAGTCATCTATTTACTGCCAGAAAGATTGAGAAACTGAAACCAGTGTAAAGCTGCTCAAGGTACCTGATGCAGGTGAAAAGAGCAAAAATAAAGTTTAGCAATAAAGCTTAACATACAAATCCTCTCCACCACGCAGATCTAAGACTGGCAGAAGTCTACACTATACACTTAGCTACTGCTATACCTACACTTGTAATAATCTCAGGAATGTGACTGGTGCACTGTAATGTGCTACATGCTTTATTGTGTTGTTTCTGTGTTCACACTGTTGTTCTATCATGTGACTCAAGCTCCTCCTCAGAAGAGGTTAAGTGCCAGGACTGGCTAGGTGCAGCAGACAACTGGACAGACATTTAGAATTAGCAAAGCCTTGAATGACTTTGCTGACATGTCAACAAGGGTTAGATACGTGACATCCATGGGGTGCCTTGAGGATATACACAAGACAGTGGGAGAACAGGCTGAAAACAACCAACCTGGCAGCTCCTGACCAGAAGGGTTGAGTAAATGAAATAAGCTATCTTTGGGGGTGCCCAGGGCTTTGTGAACTGGACTGGGGATAGAAGGACTGCTTAATCCTTTTGGAGAGGACAGTGAACCTCTGGCTGGCTGGCCTTAGCCCCAGTAAATGCCTTTACTGAAGAGACTGTCTGATGTGCTGCTTGGAACTGAGTTGTGCTGTTTCACCAAGAGGAGGTGAAGTCGCTCTCTCAGAAGCAGAACTGGATGCTTACTCCTGGAGTCAGGGCCACAGAGAGTCAGGGAAGGTGAGAACCAAAAAGGCCAGGGTCTCAAGCAGGAAGGAACTTAAGACTCCCCCTTTCTCTAGATGCTAACCCTGGGCTGGCTTTAAGGCAGGGGCGGGCAATTATTTTGGGTGGAGGGCCACTTACCCAGTTTTGGCAGGCTGTTGAGAACCGCATGGGTAGCCCCGCTCCTTGACAGGTGCCCTGCCCCCAGTCACCATCTTGGGACCAAAGTCCCAGGGCCAGCACTGGTGGGGCCCAGAGCAGGGTGCAGGCTGGCAGGGGTATGTGGAGCCAGGCTGGGCTGCACCAGCAGGGACAGGAGGGAGCTGGCCCAGCTCCATAGAGCCCCTGCTGGGTGGGACCCCGCACTCCTACGAACCTGCTCTGGGCCCCGCCGGCACTGGCCCCGGGACACCAGTGCAGGCCCTGTGCTCCTGCTGGCTCCCCGCCCACTCGCACCCAGTGCCCCCCAGCCCCGCATTACAGGCAGGGAGCAGCACACAGCCCCACCCCCTGCTCACCAAAAGGAAAGAAGCTGGTGCTGAGCACGGGGAAAAGTGGCATCTCACCTGCCCGGCAGCCAGGGAGCTCCAGGGCGGTCAAGGGTCCACTTTCCTTTGCACTGGGAAGGAGCAAGGAAGGAGCCCAGGGAAAAGCTGAGTGCGGGGGGTGGGTTATTTTCCCCACCTCTGCTTTAAGGGGTACTCTGAGAGACCTAACAAGCCTGAAGCAGTCTGAAGCAAGCACTCCCTGGAGAGCACTCCATGACATGAGACATCTATTTACAGCCAGAGAGACCAAGAAACCAAGACCTACTTAAGGCTCAAGGTACCTGAAGCAGGTCAGAAGAGAAAAAGTAAAATTCAGCAATAAAACTTTTAACACATAAGCCCTTTCCACCATGAAGATCTAAGATTAGTAGAAATCTACACTATACACTTATCTACTGCTATATCTGTACTTGTAACCATTTAAGGAACATGACTGGTATACATGAAGGCAAAGTTTGAAACTTCAGATTCACATACCTACCCAACATCTTTGCAGTGCTATACAGCACTGCTGGTAAAGGATGGAAGAAATGAGAAGTATCGGGGAACAATGGTAGAGAGCACCCAGTTTCTGAAGGTGTACAATGTCAATTTGCTAAAGTCACAAATTTATCAATGAGAAAAAAAAAATATTGTTAAAAAGGCATGAATACCTGAGTTCTATAACAGGAGCAAACAACATACAGAGGAGTGCTGGTAGCCCAGGGATAGGAGGCATAAAAGTCGTTTCCCTTAACAACATTGTAGACCCTATTATAGAAAAGAATAAAAATTGATAGTTAGCAGTGCTAAAAATCACAAATAATCTCAAAGCAGCCCACAAAAGGAACTATAGTGACAAATGTATTTACTTGTGTGGCTGTTCACATGACCAATGCTAAAAGCTAAAGTAGTATGAAAAATGTGTAAAATTAGGAATACACAATATTTTTTTTTTTTTGCCTATTTCCATACATTACCAGTTGCATTTACTGATAAGGAAGCAGCAACCAACATTTGCTGAAATGGATCTGCAAGGGTATCACGGACAATCACAGAGTTTACACTCTCTCTGTCTATCGAGATGGTTCTAGAGGGGAAAAAATGACAAAATGTGTTCTGCAGCATAAAGAAAGCCAACTAGTACAAATAAAGAATTCAGAGAAAACTGATGCACAAACTAATTCTATTTAGCAGCTCAATTTCCAATATGAATCAGGCTCATAGTTTTGAGCCCATCTGCAGTAAAAGTCTTCAAATGCTTTAAGGGAACCTTGCCTCAAATGCTTTAATAAATTAACCAAGTCTCAAAATTCTAAATTGCATGTTGTATTTTAATGCTACAGAGCAATGGTTCTTAATCTTTTCAGACTCCAGGCATTCCTCCATAAGTTTTCTGAATTTAGCAGTACCCTCTGTGGATGTGGGCAGAGGGAGCCCCTCCTTTTGTTCTATGAACACACACAGTCTCCCCTGCAAGATTTTCATTCATTGTTCCTGCCAGCAAACTTCAAGTTCTGTTACCATGTTCAGATATATCGTCACGGTTCCCAAATGAATTTTTGAACTCAAAGAACCTGAACTCCCTCCCTCATACATGCTTATTCTGTCTTAAGAGTTAAACCCCATCATTTTTCATAGCGCTGAATGTTGTTTGATCTGTGCAGAACCACACCAACTTCTTACAGGTTCACTTTATGTGCCCAAAGGGAGCTGGGAATAAGGCCATGACTACAAGAAGAGTTGCAGAAGTAAACCTAGTATCAGAGCAGCCTAGAGATTGCCAGCTTCAGTGAAGAGAAAAAAAGGGAACAAGTTTTCCTACTACTCAGAACATATGAGCATGCTACTGCACTTATTGTAGCATGAGATTTTAGTGACGGTTCTTATTTTGCTCTAGAACCCTGGAGTATAACGCTTACATCAGGCCAGCCAGCAGCAGCAACTGCCACAACCTGAACACAGCCCCTCCTGTCAGGCTGGGCTGCAGCAGCTTGCCCCCTTCTGCCACAGCCACATTCCAGTCCAGCCCCACAAGGAGTCTTCTGGGAATAGAGGCACAGCAGGACAGTCCTACGTAGCGGCAGCGGTGGTGTGGCACCCCTAAAAGGATCTTGTGACACTCTCAACAACTGGTTGAGAATCTCTGCTACAGAGTTACTACAGCATAAAGATGAATTTTAAAAAATTCAAGATGGGCAAATATGCTACCTGGTAACTCTTATTATGCATAAGAATAAGTGATGTTGTGCTACTGTTAATAGTGACTGATTTACCATACCTGAACTTGGCAACTTGAGTCATACTATGACATTTCATCTCATAAGGACTGAATGGGCCATGAAGCACTGCCTTTGAAAATACAGGACAAAAGAAAATATTTTTAGTTAATATTTGGACCTCCAGCTTAATCAGTCTATCATAAAAAAAAAAAAGCTTTTAATTAGTGATAACAATTAATCTCTCTCTCTAGTTTAGTATGTTTGTAGCATACATGCACGTAACAGGTAAAATTTTAATATATGAAGACCATACTTTTGGTTCCTAAATTCATGCTGAGGCATCTAAAATGGCCTGTTTTCACAGATGTGCAGCATTCAGTTTCCTACTGATCTCAATGGAAGACTGGATGCCACAGAATTATCTACCAAAACAACTCAGCCCACTTCTATTTAAGTGGTCAGGTCCCCAATCCTATAAAGACTTTATTCATAGTGTTATGCATGTGAGACGTGCTGTATGCAAATACCTCCATGGGACCATGTGTATGTAAATTAAGCAAGTGTATATATGTTTAGAAGACAAAAAATGCATTTACCCAACAAGGAGCCTAGCTACCCATTTGGGGGAAAAACCATAACATATCTGGTAAGATTAACAAGTAATTAGAGTGCAAAGCAGGGCAGAATTGCAGTTTTTCATGTCTGCTGTTTAATTGTGACTATATATGCTTTAACATACAACCAAAAAAATCCAACATTTAAAAAAAAATTATATGGTCAGTAATGGAGCCATATACTGCATCACTAGTACTACTTACTGCAGGATAACTTTGCATCATCAGCAACCTATTTTTTGTATGCATTTACATTCAGATTGTTAGAAATAAATTTGATTGTGGCTGCATGTTCAGTGGTGGTAACCACAGTTTGCCTGCTTGAATACACCAGCATCTGTGTTCCAGTTACAGGAAGAGTCACTATAGATTGGAGTATGAGGTTAAGTTATGCTCTTAGGCAATGGACTAGAAAGCATACACCCTAAAACATGAATTAAAACAGCGATGAAGAAAGATTAACTGGATTAGTCCGTAGTGAAGGCCGTATTCTGGAAGGTGTTAGAAGGTGCTTCTATATGCGTTAAGAAGGAGCTGACATGGAACAGGAATTAAAAGTGAATTCTACAGTAAGTTATTACTCTAGTGTTGAATATGGCAACAAATCATGCTTAGAAAGAAAACAGGGGAGAAGTTTGTATTAGTATCACAACAAAAACTACAAGAGTAATCTTTAACAGCCAAAAGTATCCCAAAATTTTGGTCACTGCTAACAGTTGTACAGCTTCGTAACAATTAACTGTGAAATCTAGATTAACGTGGAAAAGTTGAGTTCAAAACGTTCACAGATTCACAGAAGTTTAGGGCTGGAAGGGACCTCGTGAGATAATCAGGTCCAGCCACCCTGCTCTGAGCAGGAAAGACTGCTAGTGAATTCAGAAGATTGATGAGATCAGCGTTCCACAGACTTAATTGCTATTCCAGTTCCAGAACTCAGTAAATTCTGAATTATTTTGCAATTTGTTTTTAAAGACAAAAACCGATATACCATACAAACAGAAGTATTCAATTTTATCCTTAACATTCTATTTGTATTGGAAATGGTTTCCACAGACCGTACCAGAGTTGCTCAGGACCTTGCACAGAAGTCTTAAAAGTTAAATTTCAAGCTTTACAGCTCCCTAAGCAATACTCACTTCGGATCTCACAATGGTTTACATGCATCTACAGCCAGATGCGAAAAACCTAAGTTAGCAGTGTCACTTAACTAGTTTCAGCTATGAATAAAAAGAATATTACAAGAGAGAAATACAGTCTTGGCTAAAGACTTACAGGAAACCCTTGCAACTTGTAGGTTCAGGATTCGCCATTTCAAATATTCACGAATGCCGAACCCACATCTTAAATATACTTCAAGGAGCAACTGTGTCCCACCCCTGTGAGGCACTGCGTTCATGAACACAGTGCCTTATTCGCAGATTTTGCCATTCACAGGGGATACGAGAACATATCCCCCACAAATGGCAAGGGTCACCTGTACTTTAATTCTTCTGCACGAGCCTACCAAATAGCAATTCAAGTCCTTACAATTTCAAATGAAAAAAACAACCCAAACCACATTTCTGAAATTACCTTGCAATTTGGAGTACCAAATTTGTTGGCAGAAAAGCTGCTTGACATCATTTCAATTAGATGTTTCTCTTTTTCTCTTGAGGATTTTTGGGTTGTGTTGTCCTCATGTTTTGCCGGTTTTGAAAACAGCTCGTTGAGCAGTTCATGGCTTTGCTACATAAATACAGAAAAGGTTGGAAAAGTGGAAACATTCAAATTTAAAATTTGTCTTGTAAGCTTAATGAAAAAATATGCACATCTATGGAGGTGCAAAAATTCAACTATAATACAAAGCCTAGTATTTTCTTTACGAATCCTTCCCACCGAATTATAAAACATGAATTTCTAACATACAAGGTGTTCAGCTAATCAAGTGTCATACAATTCTGTTTTGGAAGTGTTTCAGAAAAAAGGGTGTGTTCTGGTCATATTACAATTACACTAGTATACAAGTTTCCCTCGCTTTATGAGGGTTCCGTATATGCAAATTCATTCTTATGCAATGACCTTTTTTATACCAAAAATTCGTTATGTGCGAAGTAAATTCACTCTTGTGTGATCAGTGTGGTAGAAGCCCACAATCAGCTGCTTTGTGTGGTGCACTGTGAGAGTGATGCACACCAAAATATAGTGTCCTGTGTCAGTCTGTGCTTCTTGCCCATTGTCTGCAACATGTGTTTCTGTAGTTGTCATCCCCACTATGGTAACATTCATGGTGAGTACCAAAACTGTCTTGTAAAAGTGGTTGAAATGGGCCTGGAGGTCAGTACAATTGAGGTCTTGGAACATATCCTTATTGTTACATTGTAAAGTGGGTTCCCTTTATGCGAATTCGAATTATGCGCCTTTTTCTAGGAACGCATGTACTACATAAACTGAGGGAAACCTGTATGTACTCTCAAAAGACCAACAATGCTTTTATGTACATAACCACACACTTTACAATACAAACTTACATTCAACTACCAGTTAGACCCAACTGTGTCTAACATGTAGAGCTTTCAGGATGTCAGCTCAATGTGGTTTCAGGACACAGGAGATAAATGAGATTAGTAAAAGAAAACCAGAAAAACTGGTTTATTTTTATTTAATCTATACCTTTGACTGGTATGATTCTTCAGCTACTTCAGCATAGCCTTCTCTAATAAGCACATCTCGAATGTTCACAATGTCTTTAACCCCCGAATGACGGTAAAGTTTCACATGCAGAATACTGTGAACAACTGAATACACTTTCACTATGAGAGCACAGCCATTGACTAATGAAGTGAATCTTTGACTAGCACCATAGCTCCACTGATCTCCACATACAAGAGATTTTGCAGAGGGACGCATCTTGCATATCTTGAATTCTAACGCCTGAAGCAAAACCATTTAAGAAAATACAATGCATTACAGAAATAACACATTTTCATTTATTTATTTACATTACTAAGGTCAGTTACAATCTAAATAATGAAGCCCATATGTAACATTTCCATTAACTATATCAACTCCATTATTTTGCACTGAGAAATCCTAAGATTGCTACAGAACTACTGACACTTCATTTTAACTGCCATAGCAAATGTATCTACATTTACAGCAAATCTTATACTAATTCATTCAGTGGGCTATGTAGTTTCCAAAAGACATACGGAAAAAAGATCTAAGAAAAAGTAACATCATCTCAGTTTGCTGTACAGTGTTGATTTGTCATCAAAATCAAACAAATTTCATAAGAATGTGACAATTCCTCCCTGAAACTTTGGTATCTTTCATTAAATTTTCAGTGTAGTTTCAGAAGGTCCTCAATACACATCCCTGCAGCAGCTGTTTTACCCTTGAAAAGCAAATGTAGAGTTTTCAACCTTTCCATTGCAGCCATTCTATAATTAAGGTGGCAAATGAGATTCTAATGTAAGTTGTATTTTATTCTATTCAGAACCCAAAGAAGTATCAGGATCAACACTGGGAGAGTGGGTCTGCAGATAACCTCTCACTACCAAGTTTGAAGGAGATACAATAATGAACTATGAATAATGACCTCAAAAAAATCCAGCTGGTTCAACTCTAATTTTAGTCATTAATGTTGTATTTAACAGAACGGCTTGCCTGCTGCAATAGGCTTAAATATATACCACCAACTGAAGACCTGAGTGTCGAGTAACAGAAATTTCTAGCCCTTTTATTTGCAAGGAAAAATCTGAACGACAATTTATTTTTAAACCTAGCCATCTAGGAACATAGCTCATTTAAAATCAGTTCAAGGCAGGCATTAAAGACAGGTATACTGGAAATTATTAGAACAGTAATGCTCAACTTTTGGCCCTGCAAATGAGTGGCGTGGAGCTAGTCCACAGGCCTGATTGAGTCCCATGCTCCAGGATCACATTCTGGGCCCTGACACTGCCCCTCCCTGCCCCACATACTTAGTAGTGGCCCCAAGGGGGCTGGTGTCCTGGGGTTGGTCCCCAGAAGCCTAGTGCCACTGCCTATCACTGAAATTGGTCTCTGTAGGACTAACACTACCCCTTCCCACCCCAGCCCCTCAGTCTGGGATTGGGCCCTAGACCCAGTGCCATGCCTGTGCACTAGGATCCAGTGCACAGGACCTGGGGCTTCCAAGGGTCTGAAAATTTGACAGATCTGGCCCCTAGGCTGGGGGTTGACAACCGTGGATTAGAAGATCAAAATTAAGATGATGGTCAGGACAACAATTAAGTGGCAGAGACGAGAAACAACTACAAGATTTCACAATGATGGGCCCTCAGACATGGACAGTTTATCAGTTTGAGCTGGCAAATGTAATGCCTATACATTCTTTTCTGCAGTTCTCTGTACAGCAGAGTGGGCATTTGGGGTTTGACTTATGGTTCACTAACAACTGTCACCAAGTAGGGGCAAAGCAGAAATACCCCAGACTGCTCACTGACCTACAGTACACTGAGAGAGTAACTAGTTGTTGTTTCGCAAATCCTCCTCCAGGAGCTGCCTTGGGTGTATGCATAAGGGAAGTTCCCAATGCCAGGACTCTCTCAGGGGCTGGCAGACATTCACTTAATGGTAAAATGGGATCTAATACCTGATCCCAACAATCATGCTTCCAGCCATGGATGGCAAGAGGTGATTGTTGGGATTGGGGATTAGATCCCAATCATGCCACTGCTACCAGGAAGCTTGAGGCATAGGTCTGCAAGTACTGGACAGGGTAAATTGACTGATTTCCCCCACATGGCAACTACAGATGGAAGGGCTCCCTGCTTGGACCCTGGGATCAAGAAGCCTCTTCCATATCCTAGATCCTGGTGGACATATACATGCAGTTTTTACAGCTCCCAGTGCACAGGGACCCAACAATTAGGTAGAGGACCCCCGATTCATGCAGCAGATTCTCAAGGAATCCATTTCTAAGCACTTGGAGGAGAAAAAGGTGATTAGGAACAGTCAGCATGGATTCACCAGGGACAAGTCATGCCTGACCAACCTAATTGCCTTTTATAAGATGACTAGCTCTGTGGCTGAGGAGAGACTAGTGGATGTGGTGTACCTTGATTTTAGCAAGGCTTTTCATGTGGTCTCCCGCAACAGTCTCGCAGACAAGCTAAGGAAGTATGGGCTGGATGAAGGGACTGATAGAAAGCTGGCTGGAGCATCACGCTCAGAGAGTAATAATCAATGGCTCGATGTCTGGTTGGCACCAAGTGGGCCCTGGGGCCAGTTTTGTTCAATGTCTTCATCAATTACCTGGAAGATAGCACAGACTGCACCCTCAGCAAGTTTGCAGATGACACCAAGCTGTGGGGGGGAGTAGCAGATAAGTTGGAGGGCAGGGCTAGGATTCAGAGTGACCTAGACAAATTGGAGGATTGGGCCAAAAGGAATCTCATGAGGTTCAACAAGGGCAAGTGCAAAAAGTCTTATGCTTTGGACGGAACAATCCCATACACCAGTACAGGCTGGGGGCTGACTGGCTGGGCAGCAGCTCTGCAGCAAAAGACCTGAGGGTTACAGTGGACAATGAGCTGAATATGAGCCAGCAGTGTGCCCCTGTTGCCCAGAAGGCTAATGGCATACTGGGCTGCACTGGTAGAAGCGTTGCCAGGAGGTCAAGGGA